CACATTCGGTTATGACCACCGATTGGAAAAAGACCACGAGTTCGACTGGTAAAATATTGCAATTTTGGATGAGGAACCCCAGTACAGAAAGAGATTGGTGTCAGAGATGCTACACAGGAGACAGACACGTGGCCTCAACCTGCAGACAGACTTGGAGGAGCTTTCCAAGACCTACTTTCCAATTGTAGATGGACTATAAATATCGGAGCGTTGTTATTGCCAGCGTATTAATCAGTGTACATTCTTTGTTATATTAAGATTAAATTATTATAGATTCAGTTTTGGTTTTAATGTCCATCTAAACTATAATTAAAAAGGTTTTCCCTTCTTTTTTCCTTTTCTTTGCGATAATGTTTTAGATGTATTAAAAGTTATTCATTAATTTCAACATAATTGACACTGATTCGCTGAATGGTCAAAAACTTTTTGACTAAACCAATAGAATTTAAGTATTTGCAATATGATGAATTTTTGTTTTAGTGAGCTACCTTCTATTATTTTACGATAAATCATTTTTGCTTCCAACAAATTTATTTTTTAAAATTTTTAATACATTTTAGATTGTTATTAGAGTTCGTTTTTATATTATACACAGTGCGACAAATATATTCCCGGTCACGAACCACATCTCAGCAACCAGTGGCGACATCTGTGCGTTCAAACATGCATTTTAAAGATTGAACATTTTGCTATCATCTGTCAAAATTTTATTCATTTTGGTTGACATATAACGAAGATATAACAGTTCATGTTAAACAAAATTTTGGTCGAGGTAGAAATTTACCAATTACTGGTGCATATTATCTTGAAGTTTTAAAGCGATTGATGGGCAGAATTCATCGTATTCGCCCCGAATATCGTGATCCAGAAGATTGGTCTTTGTTGCATGATAATGCACCGAGTCACACTTCATTGATTGTCCGTCAATGTTTGGCTCTTCTTTGGAAATCGTGTCTCTGTGTTAAACCATCCACCATATTCACCTGATTTGGCCCCCTGCGACTTCTCATTATTCCCAAAATTGAAATTGAAATTGAAAGGACGCTTTTTTGATGACATTCCGACCATCCAATCAGCTTCTACACAGGCACTAGAGGCAATTCCGCAAACTGAGCTAGAACATGCATTTGAATCACTATTGAATCGCTGTAATAAGTGTATTGAAGCCAGAGGAGAATATTTTGAATAATAAAACCAAAAAATATGCATATTTGTTGTTTCAATTATGATTTTCAGGCCCTGTCCGGGAACATATTTGTCGCACTGTGTAGTTTCCGTTAATAGGTGGAGATGATTCACTGAAATGAATTAGTTTGTAAAAAAATTTTGATTACATCATGTTGTCTCTGAGGATGGCTTAAAAGTAAACCGAAACATGTAAGCGGATTAATTATTAATAAAGTTGTTTTGTTAATCGTATTGGTTTGCATAAGAATTACTCCTAGTGCTTGACTCCTATTGCTCTATTATATCCAATCATTTTGTGTCTTTAGGAATTAATTTATATTTACTATCCATATATGTATATTTTTTCTTCTTTTATTTGATTAAGTGAGAGTTGAGTTAGGTAAACAAATATGTAATCAAATGTCTTTAGTTTATATAATCATAGTTAATCTCTACGTTGGCAATATCTAGTTTTTAGTTTAGATTAGCAATTCTATTATTACACCATCTTCTGTTCCTTCTTTACTTACTACGTGCGTCTTCAGTTTTGTGTACTGGCGTCTTTACTGTTCTCTTGCAAAAATAAAGTTATGTGCATGTTTACGTAAGTGCACTGTTGTAATTATTATCCACGTCCAATATACACTTTATTGTATGAATTGTGCGTACCACATTCATATTAGCTGATGAATTTTTCCATCCATCTATTAAAAGAACTCCGGATTCAAAAGATGAGATCAACAGATTTTTTTTAAACCTTATCAAGTAGCTTTGTCGAAAGTTTTTTTCTTGTTGGAAGTTTATATGTTTGAAGCAGAAGCTTTATGAAATTTTTTAAATATTATGATTAGACAACATATGATATGTTACACCCAAAAAAATTAAGCTAATGCTAAATCTATCTCTTTTTTATCAAGTGCTTTTGATTGCTTGGATTCCAACCGCTATTTTTGAAACGACTTAAATTGATTCATTATTGACTATAAATAAACAATTAGTTTTTAAAACAGTTTTTCTTAAACGAATAAAATTAGGATACGTAATATTGTTTGTTGATAATTTACTTGTCTGATTTCATATAAAATAATCTGCTTAAAGCCGTAAGCCATAAGCCATTGAAAAATAAATCTTGAATATAATTTAAAGAACAGTTCGGCACGTGTTCGTCAATACCTGTGCTAAAATTAATTTTAGAGATTAAAAACGTGTATATTACGTTTTATATCTTTTTGACATAATATACATGATACAAAAAGATAAATATAGTAGATTAATGAGAGTCAGCAACGATAATCGACGCAATTATTTAATGAACAATCAATAATCAGATATTAAATTGATGTCTTTTTTTCTTTTGAACGTTTCGATTCTCTTTGGAGTTCTCCTCAGCAAGAATGATACACAAGTATAATTACACATCTCCATAATATTGGGTCATCTAAAAAGTATCCGCGGTTTTTTGTCACTAGATGGTGTTGACCATCAACGGATACTTTTTAGATGACCCAATATTTGTCACTCGCAAATTGATAAAGATGCAGCGTTGTTAATCATCACAGAACATGAAGCATTGCGCTGAAGCTTTATTGAACATATTAAAATTTAAAAAGTAGAAATGTTAAACTTAAATATAAAGCTCACACATTTTTAGAACACACGTCCCTGTACGACGTATATTATGTGTAAAAAACCTTAGAAATTGTCAAATTAATCCCAACCTTAGCTGTGACGTATCTTTGGAGCCAAAATGTCGAATAATGCAGATATTGCATGTAATGTAATTAATATATCTACATATTAAGGGCAATCCTAATCTGATTTTGTTAGAATCCTTACTCGTTTGAGACTTTGTATAAGAAAGTTAGAACTGAAAACATTAACAAAAATGCCCGGTATCGATAATTGCAAAAACCACAACGAAAAAAGTTTTCGTTTATTTCGCTTAGAGGTTACCGTTTATATCTGTAATTAAAATGTCTAAGCATTACAAATAAAATGGATGTATTTAATTTATTTTCCCAGGTTTTATTTTCCCTTTTAATACACTCATATATAATAAGTTTTGAATAACCGCAACATGGAATAAAAATGGCGGTAGTTTGCGATATTTTCTTATCTAGTGACTTTAGATATCGTAGAAGAGAGATCTCGGTCGAATTAATTCAAATGACTACTTTTGAGCACATAATCCGATAACATCATTCATATAAGTTCGATTTCCTAGTCTCTATTCTTTAGCATTCAGTATACAATAAAAGGCACAGTATATATTTTAAATGTTTTGAAAACAAAAGCAAATGAGAAATAGACATAGACAGTTTTCAGTACTGTACAAAAATCTAGTAACTTTAATCCTGAAAGCTATCTATTTATATATCTAGATGTTGAAGATAAATAGCATCACAAGTATGTATTATAAAGTTCTAATAAGAACAAACAAATTAAATAAATTTAAAAAATATAATATTAATCATTTTAAATAAATGGTTAATATTATCAATGGAAGTAATTCGTTACTTGTAACAAAGTTACAGTTACAAGTTTTTTTGCTAACTTTACTGATAACTGCGTTACATTTTTTTTAGTAACTGTAACGAATTTTATAGTTACTTTTGTCGTTACTTTGCACACGATTAAACACGGTTCGATTGGCTACCCATCCGCTGTGATTGATGGTCGTCGATTTAAAAAAAGTAATGGAAAAGTAACGAAAAGTTACTTTCTCAAGTAACAGTAATGAGTTATTTTTAAAAATCGGTAATAGTAACGGTAACTTGTTATTTTTTCGGTAACAAGTAACATATTATTTTTAAAAAGTAACTTTTCATTCCCTGAATGTTACTATATTATTACTATATTTTCATAGTTCATGTAAGTTATTTATTGTTCTTCTTAAAACTTTATAATTCATAGTGGAAACGTTATTTGTCTTCAAATTTCTAATTTCTAAAATGATTTTTTTCTCTGAGTGTATCAAACTAGTAAATTTTTACAGATCAACAAATTTTTCTTAAGCTTTTCAAGAAACATGGAGACATAATAAATTTTCAATGTTACAAACGATATTTTTTTTAAATTATTCTTTTCTTAAATCTATTTTATTATTATAAATAACATAGGGATGTGTTGGATAACTGAGTGCTAAAGCAGTTACTTGTCAAGTAAAAGATCCTGCGATTATCAGACTTACCATTTCACACATATATAATACTAAGAATTTTTAATAAAAAAATATTTCATCTGTGATAGGAATAAAAGTAATTGTAAAATGAATTTAATCCCAAGATAAATACGATACTGACGATGAGTTGTTTCTTAGGAACAGGATGCTTTAAAAAACAATGAAAATAATAATAAACACACTTTAAAACGAGTCCAGAACAGAGGTTTTTTTACAATCCTTTTCCAAAAACACAATTTCTATAATTGCAACTATAACGAAATCAATAAGAAAATCAGGGTCAACAAGGAATTAATAATACATTAATAAGCATGATAATTCTAAAACATATTTTTGTATTTACACTTTTTTCCTTCTAATAATTGAGGGGATGGGCGGAATAAAGGCCTAATTACAAAATCTTGATAAAAATTAAAATAACTTGCTACTTTTTTATTACACACAAATGAGTACAATATCAAATAAATTTATGTAATGTCTTTAAGAAGTTACATGTTACAATACTTTTCTATTACAATCAATAATACATGAAAAAGTTAATAGCCGGAAAAGGACCTAAATAGAATTGTGCCTTTATTCCGCCAATCCCCGCAATTAATTAAAATTTTCAGTTAAATAATATAATATAGAGTTAGTAAATATTTATACAGACCTCGTTGGATTCTTCATTCCTCTTCTTATATACCATCTTTTCTTCCCTTCATACATGCATGCACACACAAACATACACATACACATACACACATATGTATATGTATGTATAAGTAATTAAATTACTTTTTCAAAAACATTTTTATATCAAACATATATATTAGAAACCGATTTTTATACACGTTTACACGATTGTCATGTATAAAATGCAGTTACTGCAATTATAAGAGATGAGAAGAGAGAGAAATGAACTATATAAACGGTAACATTTCTTATAAGTAAAAAAGATATCGATCTGAAATTATGTAAGTTATACATAGTTATCATAATTATATGATACACTTTAATTTTCCTTTTTAATTTGAAAAATATATAAGTTACCGTATTATCGAAGATAAAATTAAATGATTTTTTTAAAGCAAACAGCGCGGAATGTAAACTTACAATAAGGTCTTTAAAATTGCCATCGACGCGATCACATGATCAATTTTGAAAATCTATCCAATATCCAATCTATCCAATATAGAGAGATAAGTATGTATGATCAAGTAGCTCAGAATCGCATCGATACACATCAATAATTGTCTTGATGTAACTCGATACTTTGATATCAATTAGAAAAATTGCAACAAAAACAACATCGCAAATTTAAATTCGAACTATCGAACACATTTAAATTATTTCGCTGTCACTCATCGATCTATCACTATACTATATACGTATGGCGTATGTACAATAACGCAAAAGTGATTATTCAAATAATCAAGTTACTTGAATCACTGTCTAGACTTCACTGACGCATAAACTCAAAAGATTCGCTGCGAAAAGCTCGTGATGTATGTCGCGAGAGAGGTGGTCTATGGCACCATCCGTAAGAACTTCGAACCTGCTTAAACGTAAAATTATTGCAGAAAAACTATAGATATAACAACCTAGATTACTATGCGTGGTGATACACGCATATTATCAGTGACTATAATATACAAGTAAGATTCAAAAATTATAATAATATATTGATAAATCATAAATTTACTTGTGATTTTCCAGTAGATTAGATATTCATTTTCGTAAGACCATAGACAATATGAATTATAACATTATATAGATAATATAATAATAATTTAGAATTATATAGACAATATAATTAACCAACAATACTATTTAGTAGATTTCATAGCTTTATATAGCAACTTATGAAGAACGTATATGTAAGTGTTTCTTCATTCATTTTATCAAATATATATTTGGGAATTTTAAATATATAATATTCTTGTGGTTTAAATCTATTTTTATATATTATTATTGTCACAAAACAAAATGGAAAATATCTGAAAAGTATTTTTATCGTGGATAATATCTCAAGACGGCGTACCGAATAATGAGAAAGAAAACAAATATAAAAGCAATGTTTAGAAACATGAGATAATTCTTTTTCTTTTAGAAAAATAATAAACCACATTTATTTAGATTTAATTTAATATAATATAAACATATAATTTAATAAATTAGTCTTCTAAGTTAATTTATACATTTTTATCTAAATTTTTTTTTATAACAACATTATAAAGTTAATTTATTTTATATATATTTTACTTAACTTACATATTTTTATATAAAATTTATGTTATATAGCAAATTTATGCTATAATTTTTAGTTTAAAACGCTATAAATTGCTATCTAAGATCTGCTAGAATTATCAATAAATAATAGAATTATATGTAAAAACGAGTACGACTGTTTAAGTTTACGTCTTAAAAATTTAAAATTTCTCAAATATACTGTTTAGTTTTAAATAAATAATTTTTTGGAACTAAATTCTACATCCTCATCTTTATTTGCAGAATACACCAATCTAGCTCACTGGCCTTAGCCTGTTTCTACTATACTATTTCTACTATACTATTTTCATCTGACTGAGATACGAGAGAAGGGAAAAAATAAAATCCGTAAGACGGAGAAACCAGAAAACTAATGGCACGCGGCCTACATTCAATGTAATAATATGCGATATCATATAAAATAAATTTATAAAATTAATATGCTAAATATAATCATTACTATTCATTTCAACGATAAAATCAAAGCATTAGCAAAATATAATTCTAATAATAAAAAAATGATTAAACTAGATAATAAGACTAAAAGAAAGTTAAAATTAAAATAGAAAATATTTGAATTTTTTGCAGTATTTCTCTATATATTGAAGTGTATGTATATTGAGAAAAAAAAACACATGTAGAAATCATAGTCTCAACATATCTCATTGCTCAAAGTAATGTGTGACTACATGATTTATTAATCATTATAATTATTATTAGGTTGGTGCATTTGAAATGTCGGATTTTTAAGTGAATATATAAAACTTTCATATATCTTTTTTCAAAAGCTGTTTATTTAATCAAAATATGCTCCATTTGTTTCAATACACTTTTCCCAACGAGATTTTAATGCATAGATACTTGTTTTAAAGAAATTCTGATCTTTAGAATCAATAAACTCTGATATGGAATTTTTCAGTCTTCATTTTCTGTCTTCATTTTCATACTGTTTAGCCAGTAAAAACTGTTCTAAATGTTTAAAAAAATGAAAGTCGGTTGGCGAAAGATCCGGTGAATAAGCTGGGTGCTGCAAAATTTCATATTTTAATTCATTTAATTCGCAATTGTTTTGTACGATGTGTGCGGCCGAGCATTGTCGTGGAGAAGTATTGGGCCATGCCGATTAACAAGTGATGGGCGTATAATTTTCAATTTTTCATGCATTTCATCAATGTACTGGCAGTACTTTTCGACTGTATTTGTCTCCCCAGTTCGAAGGAATGAGTAATGAATTACTCCAGTCACATTCCACCAAACTGTTATTAAAATTTTCCGTGGATGAAGTGATGGCCTTGGAGTATGAGCACAAGCTTCATTCCTATCAAGCCACCGAGCTTTTCCTATTGTCGTAAAGAACCCATTTTTCATCACAAGTAATAATCCGATCGAAAAATGGCTCTCGATGAAATCGGGTTAGTAATGATGAGCATACGATGATTCAATCGAGCCAGCTTATTTCGCTCGGGTAGTTCGTGTGGTACCCATTTATCCATTTCATTTTTTTCACCTTGCCAATTTCAGAAAGGTGTCGCAATATCGTTGTATGGTCAACTTTCATTCTGATAGCAAGTTTCCTAGATTCGTTTCCACCAATGCTTTTATAGCATCATGTTTCACAGACGTTTTGGATCTTCCACACGGTTCATTTTGTAGGGAAAAATCACCAGACCGAAATTTTTCAAACCAACGCTGCACTTTTCGATCGTTAACAGTATTCTCCCCAAATGCCTGGTTTATATTGCGTGCAGCTTTTGCAGCATTATTACCAAGTTTATACTCATATAAAAAAAATTACATGAATATCGGTTGAATTCATATCCTTACGAAATTCAAAACAAATAACAAAATGGAACACTTTTGAGAAAATCTTCTTTGTTGAAATGTGACTCTGGCAATGGACAATACGACTATATGGTAAACGAGGTTATGTCAAAAACAAAAGCATAACGAAAACAGGGAGACAAACGTTCATATGTAAAGAAAATCCGACATTTCATATGCACCAACCTAATATTATTGAAATGGTTATTAATGAATGAGCTCTCTTATCAGCAGGCAACTTACATAATGTAAATCGCGAATTAATAAACAATTTAAGTACTTTAGTAAATCAAATTACCCCATAAAACTGTCTAACTTTTTTTACATTTTTTTTAATGAAGTTGAAGTAGTGAAATTGATACGTGTCCAAAATTCTAGATTCTACGATAAAAGAGAGAAAAAATAATGAAAATGTAATTTTTCACGTATAACTTACAATTAGTGACAGATAAGGCTCGCAGATTCTTTGATTAAATGCATAAAAATCTTACCATAGATTTTTCTCAAAAACGAGATTATAATAGTTTAAAAAATTACGATTTTAATGGTCATAAAAAAATTATTAGGGATGCACCGAATCGTAAAATTACCGAATACTGGATATCGGATATTCAGACAGAATGTAACATCGGATATCTGGTATCCGATCGAATATACAAGAAGGCAATTTCTTTGAGTCAGATATACATTTTCCGGATATCCGATCGAATTTTGAGAAAGTTTTCTAAAACAAAAGCCTATAGAGAAAAAGATTGTAATTTTGTAACAATGTATAAAATATTATAGCATTATGAATACTTATGTTTAGAACATTTGTATAAAAAAAAATCAACAATTTAATATCAAATTTTAATTATATGATATCCGGATATATTCCCGGATACTAATGAATTCGACTATTCGGTCGGATAAAAAAGTATCAGATACCGGATAATTTCCAGATATCCGGTGCATCTCTAAAAATTATAGGTCAACGAAGATCATTCTAGAAAGATATTTACATGCATAAACCTAGTAAAATGCTAGTACTACGCTAGCAAACTTGATCATAACGTTACAGCAGATATTAAGCTGGTGCTTTCTCATTAAGCTTGTAATTTGTAACAACATACTCTGCTAACATAGAACGGCGGTAGAAGTATAATAAAAATCGAACATTTTTCATTACAAATATCGTAACAGCAAATACATAGTAAATATCGGGCAAAATTTGATATATCAAATTTAATACTAATAACAAAAAGATAGCAGAAATCAAGCATAATCTGATGTCACATTGTGACAGCGAAATTGCGGCAAGAATACAACATAATTTATCATATCAAATACTAACTGCGAAAACATGGCATTTAATATAAAACGTAATCTAGCGTAATCTAGCATTATCAACTGCTGAGGGCAAAAATGCAGCAGAAATACACGTAATAAATAAATATAATTTATCATACATTTAACTTTTATTAACTAATTTTTATTAAAGTACATTTGATCAGAATAAAATTTTGCTAAATAAAAAATGTACTCTTAATTTTTATTGCATCTTAAATAATGTTACCCTGGCGGAAAAATTTCTATGTCAAAGTACGCCAAAAAGTATGCCTTTCTACTTCTATGACTGTGACGTAAAATCGCATTGTTAAACATAGAAATAACTACGCCAAGCTATGCCAAATGGCGTACTTGGACTTAGTTAGGCATAGAAAGTATGCCAAAGTACGCGCAACTAATAAATCATTACTTCCTGAACACCGATGTGAACCTGGCGCCCAACTTTATCAAAAGTAAAAATTAATAGCCGTAGCGCGTTTGCACTTCGTTTGTATCTGTTTGTACCGATTATTATATCGTACTTCAACAGTTAAACAGAAAGCGAAAAATAAAAAATTTAAGATTTAAAATTTTTTAATAGCATAAATGAAATTAAAAAATCTTAAAGTTGCGCGCTGGTCATTTTTTATTTTTCACTTGGCATAGCTTGGCGTAAATTAATTTTTAACGCTTATAATTAATTTTTATTTTTGATAAAATTAAATGCTAGATTCACGTCGGTTTGTTGAACTACGCGTTTCATGCTAAACGACGCCAAACTAATTTTTATTTTTTCGTATTTCAAGTAAGTATATCATTCTATGCTTTTTACGCGGAATTGCACTCTACAGTCTGATAGTTGGGCATAGAAATATCTATGCCAAACTGCCGCCAATCTACGCAGT